ACTTCAAATCGTGACTCATCTGACCACAGAACAGTCTTCCATTTTGCCACACTCCATTTTAAATGACCCCTGGCCCAGTGCAAACGTCTGAGCTTGTGGAGCTTGCTTAGAAATGGCTTCCTCTTTGCACTGTAGAGTTTCAGCTGGCAACGGCGGATGGCACGGTGGATTGTGTTCACTGACAATGCTTTCTGGAAGTATTCCTGAGCCCATTCTGTTATTTCCTTGACAGTGGCATTCCTGTTTGAGGTGCAGTGACGTTTAAGGGCCCGGAGATCACGAGCATCCAGTAGAGTTTTACGGCCTTGACCCTTACGCACAGCGATTGTTCCAGATTCTCTGAATCTTTTGATGATGTTATGCACGGTTGATGATGATAACTTAAAAGTCTTTGCTATTTTACACTGGGTAACACCATTCTGGTATTGCTGCACTATGTTTCTGCGCAACAATGGTGGAATTGGTGATCCTCTTACCATCTTGGCTTCTGAGATACACTGACACTCTGAGAAGCTCTTTTTATACCCAATCATGTTGTCAATTGACCTAATTAGTGTTAATTGGTCTTCCAGCTGTTAGTTATATGCTCAATTTCTTTTTTCCAGCCACTTATTGCTACTTGTCCCAACTTTTTTGGGATTTGTTGACAATGTGAAATTTTGAATCAACATATTTTTCCTTTAAAATGTTACATTTACTCAGATTAAACTTTTGATCTGTCATCTATGTTATATTATGAATAAAATATTGACATTTGCCATCTCCACATCATTGCATTCAGTTTTTATTCACAATTTGTTTAGTGTCCCAACTTTTTTGGAATCCGGTTTGTACAACTACACACTGAAATCAGCACCACTTTGTCTCAGTTAGTGTTTAGTTCATGAGCCTCTTTCACAAAACATGTTCAAGAATTTTTCCTCCCAGGCTCTGATCGAGGTGGCTGCTTCTGCTTCTCCTCCCCCATTTTTCCTTCCTCCTGCTCTGCTCTCTGTCTGTCTGAAGCGCCTGGGTCTCATCTCCCGAACATAAATTAAGAAGATTATGGATTTGGTATCGTGGGCGTTCAACTCTATTGATAAGATTTATTCATCAAAGCGACAAGGTCCTGGAGAACCGGCGTGTCCAGCTGAGACTCACGCCGTGGGGTACGTCATGGATTCGTGGGGAGTGTGGCAGATGATGTGCCTCTCAGTTCTGTCTCAGGAGGATGTTGAAGACGTTTATATGTTTGGACTTATGATAGCAGGGACTCTGCTTTTTGGCATCGGCGGGGCTCTGTTTTATTGACTTTTGAAGAAGACATCGGCAGCAGTTTCGGCCATGGGAAAGCTTCCGAGTCAGTGTGAAGGTTTGGTCCTCGCTGTGGGAACTTTAAATCGTCTGGTCTACGAGCTTAACCCTAAGGTGGAGGCGATTGAGAATCACAGGCCACCTGCGGCTTCTGGGACTCGTCAGCGTGGTGGGTTCGACCTTGAAGGAGACTCATAGCATGGATCAGTAGAATGGAATCCCACAATTAGGCAATTTTGGAACCAGAACGCCCAGATGGACTCAAGGCTGAAAAAAAAGTAATCTGCCTGAAGAAAAACAAGAAACCAGCTTATCTAAATCAGACTCCTGACGGCCTCGGAGACAGGCCGACTATCAATTTCTCCTGGGACATGAGTACCGAAGGACAAAAGCTTCATCTATCACCCCCCCAAGAACTTTCTGTGCAAGCTTATCAGAACTGACCGCTGAAACAACATCTTCAGAAACTGTGGCTGATCTGAAAAAACGCTCATGGACAAATCTCAACACCTTGATGTCAAATACAAATGTGATCATGTTTTAATTGAGCTGCTGGTAGAGTTTTTGATGTCTCAAATTGTGTCCTGATAAACAAGATGTGAAAGATCTTTTTTTGTAATACCACTATCTACCCTCATGTTTCTCCCCCTTTTCATATCTAACATTATTATCTGATAAGGATAAAATGGCCGCGCTCTCCTGTAGTTGCAGCTTTGTGCACTCCGCCCATCTTTCGGACGACTGTACGTACATATTCGCGTTGTACCTCGGTGCAATTCCAATAAAGTTTATTCTGATTCTGAGATGACATCCAGGCGCCTTCATCATGTCATAGTGGGATCTATGCCACGACCTAGGTGTTGTGGGACGTTAAAGTCAACCGGCTGCTGTTCTGCATGTGAGCTGCCGATTGCTAAGAGCTGTAACAATGTGAAGTGATTTAGTGATGACAGTATGTGTGATGGTAGGATTCAGAATGAATGGCAGATAAACCGTTCAGTCTGAACACAGCTTTTATATTTAGCTCAAATTGTTGAAGGGTGTGAGCAGCTTTACTGGTGATTTATGAGCAGGAGGGGCTCTTCTTTGTATACTGTAGAAATGTTTTTAAAGGGAACTGCTGATACAACATTAGTTACTTTTTCTTAAACCTGAATGACAGAGTCCACAACCGTTTTTCATTGAACAGCTGAAATAATTATTTCTGTTACATAAAAACAAGGTCTTGGATTTGTTGCTTCTACTTGTTTTTTGCTTTCCAGATGCCAACTCTCCAGAAGGACAGGGCTTCTGCCAGGCTGGCTTCAGTGCAGACTTTCTAAAGGTAGCTAAGAAGCTTCAAGCCATCCAGTCAGTGATTACTGCTTTGTGGAGAGGCTGTCGACAGCTGCTCATAGTCAGAGGAGGACCATTTTACATTTGATTTAGTCATGCTGCACAGTTGAAATGAAAGAAACAAAATAAAATGGAAAAAAAAACATTTTAAACGTGCACATATTTGTTTAACAAAATTAAAGTCAGGAGATGTTTAATATTTTAGCACCAAACCTAAAGTAACAGAAACAGTCTGGCTTTATTGCACAAAATGTTTTTAGGACACCTCTGAACCTCAGATGATCATTGTGCATATCTATTGTACTTTGAAAAAAGTCTTTTCATAGATATTTACAACCTGTACAAAATGTTCGTACATGTTCTGACCCAAAAACACCTGGATCGCTTGAAGGTATCAACAGAGACTGACTGGAAACTCAAACTTGACTCAAATCACAAGAAAATACATCCATTTGGGGACATTGGCAACACCTTCGACTATGTTGAGACAAACCTTCTTGCTCAAATTTTCTTGAAAATCTTTGTAACATTTTCTCAGCTAGTTGTGGCCCAGTGGGACCCACCTTTAGGAAATGCTGTTCCAAACCTCTGATGTGGGAACTCATTTTGTGAAGTCAATACAAGTAAATGGACTGTATGCTGGTGAAGATTCTCAGTCATCCAGGACATGATGAATTCAAAAAGCGTTCAATACAAAAACAACTGGACTTTATTTGTAACAGAAGACGTTTCGCTCCTCATCCGAGGATCTTTCTCGATTTAAAGAGCAGAGAGTGAGAGATACAGGTTATAAGGCTGAGTGAGATAAGACACACACACATAAGACACACACACATATGTAGATTGGCAGTTCACACCTAAAAACCTAAACAGTAGGTCTTTGTTCCTCTAATTCACAGACGAGGCCTCTCTGTTCCCATCAGGTGTGAAAACCGGCTGGGAATCTGTTTTAAATTTGCATTATATGTTTTTGAAAGTGGGAATCTGAGGCCTCCTCCTCTGTTAAGAGAGGGTTTTTCTCTTTTTACATAAATTGCTTCCTTCACCCCCCTCTCAAACCATCTGTGTTCTCAGTCCGAAATGTGCACATTTTGGTCCTCAACAGAGTGTCCCTTATCTGTGAGGTGGAGGTGAACAGCTGAGTCTTGTCCTGAGGAGGTGGCTCTCCTGTGTTGAGTCATGCGTCTGTGAAGAGGCTGTTTAGTTTCTCCAATGTAGAGGTCTGGACAGTCCTCGCTGCACTGGACCGCAGACACTACACCACTCTGTTTGTGTATGGGTGTTTTGTCCTTAGGGTGGACCAGCCTCTGTCTGAGAGTCCTGCTGGGTTTGAAATGTACTGGGATCTTGTGTTTGTTGAAGATCCTTCTGAATTTCTCTGATACTTCAGCAACATAAGGGATGACAATGTTTTTCCATCTGTTGTTCTTTTTCTGTTTACTGGTGTGTTTTGTAGATTTCCTCTGCTCTTTGAATTGAGAAAGCTCCTCGGATGAGGAGCGAAACGTCTTCTGTTACAAATAAAGTCCAGTTGTTTTTGTGTTGAACACTTTTTGAATAAATGGACTGTACTTATCTAGAGCTTTTCTATCTGATCAAGACACTCAAAGCTCTTTCCAACACAATCTGTGTCCTCATTTACTCATTCATACAGCTCTATACTAGATCTCTACAAATAATAATCAGAGCTTTATCACATTCATACACTGATGGGACACGCATCGAAGGCGATGAGGGGTTCAGTGTCTTGCCCAGAGACACTTTGGCATGTGACTGCTGGTGGAATCGAACCCCCAATTCTTGTATTGGAGGACGACTGCTCTAACCACTCAGCCACAGCCGCCCCTTTTTTTAACCTATTTTTTACTGCCTATTTAGTGTACATTGTTTTAACGATTATTTAAAACAATCAAAAGGTTAATACTAAAGATGCACTGGTTCCAGTTTAGTGGGCCAGTACAGATTTTCAATAAATTCACTCCTCTGCTGGTCCTGATGGATTGGCTCTAAGGGCTGAATGAATCGACTAAGAAGGGAAAGCAGTTTATAACCAGATTTTTCTTTCTCTTTCCCTTTTGTGGCTTCAGGAAAACAATCGAGTGGTGGTGGGAGGGCCCGGCAGCTTCTACTGGCAGGGTGAGTGTTGCGCTGACGCTGTGTGTTTATGTGAACACGTTGTTGCAGCCCCCCCCCCCCCCCCCCACACACACACACACACACTAAAAAACCTCCGGTTCCTCAGCTGTCACCTGTAGATGAACAGAACCCTAACACTCGGCTAGCTGAGAGGCTTCAACATTTAATACTTTTTGTACTTTTACATTGGCAGATGATGATCTGTTCTATATGACCTTTTATTGTGCATCAAGTTTAGGTCCAATTAATTGAAACAGACACTGTTTTTATACTAAATAAGAGGTACAGTAACAATATGTCTTGCCTGCGTGTTTGTTTGTCTGCACTGTTAAAAAAATATTTGACCAGTCACAGAACAGATTTTGTTGAAACAAAGTAAATTATGGATGTACGACTAAATACCTTTTGGAGGCAGTTTGATTCAAGATGGCCACCACAGCAAAGCATTTTAGAAATCACAAAAAAAGCTTTAACAGCCAGATTTACATATGTTGCGCTAACATTTAGTGTGGTAGTAGCTGACGGTCACATCACACAGTCCAAATGTTAGCAGATCATACAAGACATTTCAATATTACATTAGACTGCATTGTTGTTTTTAAAGATTTCACCATAATGGCTATGACATTGTCATTTTACAATTTTGATGATCTCATATGTTCACACTGCTGGCAAATGTGGCCCAATTCTGATTTTTAAATATATTTTTCTGCTAGGCAACCCATCAGATTTTTTTCATGACTGTCTGAACATGCCAAATCTGATTTTTTTATTTTTTTTTATTTTTCAAATCTGACCCAAATCATTTCCATATGTGGCACTGAATCGGGTTCTTATTCAATGTTTTCAAAACGATGAAGTCCGGACGGTCGCATTTCATCTGACTTTGACGTCAGTCAGGTAGGATCGACGTGGATCGATCCAAGTACTGATAATAATGATAAAAACCTTGTGCAGTTTCAATCTTGGAACTCTACATGTCTTCAGCTACAAAAGTCTGGTTGCTTCCTTTTTTCTTTTAAATTGCCATGCCCTGGATGAGTGACGGTCTACAGCAACGTCTGACACTAACGCTGGTGTCAGACCGTATTCATACTAGGGCTGAAGCTTTTTTACCTGAATATTGCAATTGCGATGTAATATTCAATTATTTTAAATGTCTTTTTCTCATGTATTTTTCAACAAACAATAAATCATCTGTTTCAGTTGTTTTCAGCTCCGCTGCAACTCTGTTTCTGCATGTTTTATGTAGCTCCTGGACAGCAACTTGGCTAAAATGTGTTTGAGGGCGTTCCGTACCGCTTATCCACTGTGTTCACTAAACTCAGGCTTGGTCCCCAAATTAATGAGCATCATCACTATGAACTCCGTTAGTGCTCGAGTTATTTCCGCGTGCCGTTTTGAATTATGTTCATACGGAGTATTACCCTCGAGCAGTTCGGTCAGTGATCCTGTCGGCTGATACTTTGCTTACGTTAAGTTGAAGCACTGGTCGTTGGCATTCTAGCCATGAAACTGTTGTGAAGGGTTTTGTGTGGGGGGTTGTGTGTCGATAAAGATTTGTGGTGTTTCCTCGAGCAGCAAGGCAGGTTCTGCATAATACGCGTCGTTGTTTAGCGTCTTCTCTTTTGTAGACAAAATAACTGCAAACATGGGACGTGCTGCCGCTCTTTGGTACCAACCTTTCAGCTGTGTGAGCTTCTGTTGAGCCTGACGCCATCGTACAACCGGTTAAAGCGCGGTGTTGACTTCTCCTGCTCTGCTCCGCTCCACTCACTCGCAAGTCCCGTAACTGGATCACATGACCAGTCAAATCGCAGCCTTTGCAATTAGAAAATCTCGTTTCATCATATCTTGATATTATCGCAAATGGAGTTAATTGTTCAGCCCTAATCGATACGAACGTGATGGAATCAATACATGTACGTTTTATCTTCAGAACGTCACGCCTGTTCTAAAAATGTAACGTGGCAAGAATAAATACAATATAAACACTGGCCCAAACGATGGTGTCAGATATTTTTTAATGGGTTCTGATTACACAGCTTCAGAATTATGCATGCTAACATGCTAACATCCATATTTCCTTCCTTAACCACAGCGTACTGATGCCACATTATTTTCTGCGCATGCAGTTTGCCTCAGAACTGTAAATGGTTCACATTGGAGTCTGACGGAGGTCCCATTTTTGATCACGTGAACAACCACACAAAATAAAAAAGATCGGATCTGAGCAAAACATGTAAAGTGAACTTTATGACCTGCAGTGTGAACGTAGCCTAAAACCCTGGCACGAAAGGGTTCACATGCATTCTTCAAGGAATGCTAGACTCTTAATCTAAGAAAAAAGACAGCTTTTAGGTTTTGGTGTTTGACACGTGATCTGTCGGACTGTTTACAGTTCAATTAGAAGAATAAAACTGTGACCTGTTTATTTTAATTTATATTGTAAAGTTACAAGATGATGAACTCTACGTTATTGTACACAACTTGCTGCATTCAAATCTCTCCACCAGGAAGGATCATTTATTTCCCTCTCTGCTTTGGGCGGGGCATGTCATTGTACAGTAGATCAAAAGAAACTATCAAATGTGTTTTTTCTTCTTGCACCAGTCCCATATTGAACTGTAATCCCAAAATCTAAGCATGCATTGAATTACAATTTGTGTCTATCATTACAAACGGTCTTCATATTACATGAGGGGACATCATTTCCTAATGTCCAGTAAATATGTAGGACCGAAGCTGCGCTCTGATTTCTTACTGGACAACAGAATGCATCACCGCCCGTAAGACTTTAATGACCATGTGAGGCTGAGGTGGGATGAGCTCCAGACGATCTGTGTGTGTGTGTGTGTCAGCTGAGAAGTTTAATCCATGCTTGTCTGGTCGTCTGACTTAGAGGGTGTGACAGCGAATAGACCCTGAATGCTGAGTCAGCCTCACACATGTTTTCTGTCTGTGTGCTGAGGCTCCTCCTCGGAGGTTTTCGCCTAATTATTGTTTCCTGTTTAGTCAACACTCACAATTACAAACACACACGCACGCACGCACGCACGCACGCACGCACGCACACACACACACACCCACACACACACACACACACACACACACACAAGTTTGTCTTTCTATCTTTACAGGGACCTTTCATTGACTTCCATTCATTTTTCATTCATTTCTATAGCTTAACGCTGACCCTTACCTTAAACCTAACCATTACCAGTACATACCTAACCATTACCAGTACATACCTAACCATTACCAGTACATACCTAACCATTACTAGTACATACCTAACCATTACTAGTACATACCATTATCAGAACATATCTAACCATTTCTAGAACAGAGCAGTCGGTTCCCATAATTCATGTTTTTTTTTTTTATAATATTGGTCCCTTCAATGTAACCTGAAACATACACACACACACACACACACACACACACACACACACACACACACACA